TGCATAATGTGTGAATTTTTCAGATGGTTAGGGATAGTTGGAGCACCAACTACCTTACTGTCTCTTTAGAAAAATTTGGTCAGTACTCACATATTAAAATCATTTTGTGATTCAAAAGCAACATGCAACTGAGAGCTAATTAGGCATTATTTCTTTTTGTATTTGTTGTAATAGTTAAGAGAGAACTGGGATCTCTACAGATAATCCTGTAAACACAGAGGCTAACTTAATGGAAGTTTACTTTTCATGTACACTACCTTCCAGTGTGGGTGCTCAGCAGCCTTTTCAGATGGTTTTTAGGGAACCCAGGTTCCTTTATCTTGGGGTCCTGCCAACTTTTGGGGTCTTAAAGTCCTTTACTTCTAGCCAGCTTCTGGGAAATGGGTGAGCTGAAGACTGGCTGGGAGGTTTTTACAGAAGTTGAGTTTCTCATTTCTACCCACATTCCACTGGCCACATGTCACATGACCTATCTCTATACAAGGGTGATGGTGATGAGGCTTCCTAACAGCCACTCTATGCCAGCGATTTTCAACTCTTGTGCCACAGCAAGCATACTGGTGTGCCACAAGGGTTTTTAAAATGTGTAATACCTGTCTATTTATTTAGTTAGGGGCACTGACTTCCCTTAGATTGTCAAATAAAAAAATGACAACAGCCAATGCAACAATAACCATCTGGTGTGAATTAATAAAAATTATACCTACTTTTTGTCAGATCAACAAAAAGTATATTTTTTGGTGTGCCATGGAATTTTAGTAATTAGTTTATGTGTGACATGAGATGAAAAATGTTGAAAATCGCTGCTCTATACTAATGAAGAGAAACATGAATCTTCGTTGGACAACTGGTCCCCTCTGCTGCAGTCAGAGTGAGCATTTTAAGGTTTCCAAATCTGAGATGGATTACATGTCTGAGGTGTGACTTTCAGACAGTCCATGAAATCTGAATGTGGGTTACAAATTTCACTTACCTGACATCTTAGGAATTAAGGTGATCTTCAGAAACTAGGAAGTCAGGATTAATTGAAAAATAGTGTAGTTAAGAAAGGAAAACTATAATTCATGGGTAATTGGAGATATTATTAATAGTTTATTTTTTTATGGAGTGACACAGAGGGTAAGGATCCAATATGGATTTTGAGCTGGTTTATATTATTGAAGAACTTATATAATTATAGAAAAAAGAACTCTGTTTCCATTTTTTGCAAAACTATTGCTACAAGTTTAGCTTTGTTAGTGCATGTTTTCCCTTAAAAATGTTTTCGTGCTTGGCAGAAATTTTAACAGCATATGCCTTTACCCGATGGGTTTTAAATTGTATTGTGTTGCTTTGTTGCTTCTTGGTTTTTTAATTTGTTTTATGTGAGCTTAACCTCTCTCCTCAAATTATCTTATGATTTTTATTTTGGAACTGGGATTTGCTATGGTATGAAATTATCATGAATTTCATTCTCATCTTTTTTTATTAAGATGCTTTTAATACCACCTGGTGTCAGAACTGGTGACCTGTAAAATACATTTTTCTACCACTTACTATGGAACAACTCTGACTGGTGACTTACTTTCTATTTTCTCATCTATAAGATTTTATTGGTTCAGGAATATCCAGCTCTCTTGGAATTAATGTTTAAGGTTAAGTAGCTTTCTATGGTAATTTGAAGTACTATGTGATTCACCCAGTGGGGTACTGGAACTGGATTGTAGTAGCCCATGATGGCCGAATAGTGGAAACTTGTTTTAACAACCTATGATACAAACTAAATATCCAAACTCATGGTTAAAGTACTTATATTAATTTCTTAATTTTTGTTATATTTTATTATCTATGTTCTTGAGGTCATTAGATCTGTTGTGTCCATATGGTGGAAATGCCATACAATGGGGTTTTATTGCGCCTCTCTTCCCAGCTCTGCTTTCAGTGACACCACTTAAATAGCTTGAAGTTGGCCATGGTGGTGCTATTTGTTATATGTTTACCAGCAACGAATGGGACCCACTACACAGATTATACTCCACACAGTGTGTTGAGGCCTGAAGGAGACAACTAGTGCCAGGAACATTGTAGATGCACAAAAAAGGACAGCAGTTTTTAAGGTCATTACTTCAGAAAAACCTCCGCCATTACCATTGAGCCTCAAAATGACCAGTGTTGCCAGATCATTGCTTTCCAGAGACTTCAAAAGGACACAGAACCTGTTTCTCTTTATCTAGTCATAAAACAGATCCCAAAATATTTGACTCCATCCTTTTCAGGGATATGTTAGAGGAAAAAGTGTCCTAACAGATGTGAGACTATTTTGAGTAATTAAGAAGCACAAATCCTGTTCTAATGCTTCTTAACTTGGAGGTTGAGAAAGAGTTTCGCACAAGTTTGCTGGTTTGTGCTAGTGATGACTTTGAGAAGAGAATATGCTCCCCCTGTTGCCGCCTACTGCCACAGTACCACGGAGCTGTAATGGTGATTCCACAGTGCTCGACCCTGGGCATAGGCACAATGGTTAATGACCAGGTCTTCTTAGTCACTGGAAAGTAAGAACAATGTAATAGGATATGGGCAAAACATTGTCTGTTTTCTTATCCTGGAAGGACTACTTTTATTCTGGGATTCTGTTCTTCTGACAACTTTTATGTTGATATAGTCTATTTTTAAAAAAATTATTAGTTACAGTTGTCCCACCTCTTTCCCCATTGCTCTCCCCTACCCCCCCCACCTAACTCCCACAGTCAGTCCCCTCCATCGTTCTTGTCCATGAGTCCTCTATTTGTTTTCCTTTGCTTGCCCTTTCCCCTTCTTTCCTTGTTATCCCTCTTCCACCTCCCTCTAGTCACTGTCAGTTTGTTCTTTATCTCCAAGTCTTTGGTTCTATTTTGCTTATTTGTTTGTTTTGTTGATTAGCTTCCACTTATAGGTAAGATCATATGGTATTTGTCTTTTATTGCCTGGCTTAATTTCACTCAGCATAATGTTCTCCAGTTCCATCCATGCTGTTGCAAAGGGTAGGAGCTCCTTCTTTCCTTCTGGTGCTTAGTATTACATTTTGTAAATGTACCACAGTTTTTTGATCCACTCATTTACTGATGGGCACTTAGGCTGTTTCCAGCACTTGGCTATTGTAAATAATGCTGCTATGAACATTGGGGTGCATAAGTTCTTTTGAATTTGTGATTCAGAATTCTTAGGGTATAGCCCCAGCAGTGGGGTAGCTGGATCAAAAGACAGTTCCATCTTTAGTTTTTTGAGGAAATTCCATACTGTTTTCCACAGTGGCTTCACCAGTCTGCATTCCCACCAACAGGGTACTACGGTTCCCTTTTCTCTACAGCCTTGCCAGTAACTTGTTGTTTGTTGATTTATCAATAATGGCCATTCTGAATGGTGTGATGTGGTATCTCATTGTGGTTTTAATTTTCATCTCTAATGGCTAGTGATGTTGATCATTTTTTCATGTGTCTATGGGCCCTCTGTATGTCCTCCTTGAAGAGGTGTCTGTCCAAGTCCTTTGTCCATTTTTTAATTGGATTGTTTGTCATACTGGATGTATTATATCTTTATGATATGACTGTAGTAATAAATGGTAGTGGTGCAGGTAGAGTTAATTTTAATGTCCACACTTGGGAAAAGCTAGAAATTATGTCGATCCTCTTTCTCCAATGTCCATGATTTTTTGTTGTTGCTGTTTCTTTGTTTTATAAAAAGTGTTTTTACCACTTTTTGCACCAGCTTGCCAGTTTACCACTGGTGTTTGCCCCAGCCTGCAAACCAAAAAGGTCACTGGTTTGATTCCCCATCAGGGCACATGCCCGGGTTGAGGGCCAAGTCCCGAGTTGGGGGTGTGTGAGGTGCAACTGACTGATGTTTTCTCTCCCTGTCTTTCTCCCCCGCTTTCCCTCTCTCTAAAAATAAATAAATAAAATCTTTAAAAAAATGTTTGTGGTCCAATGGAATGTAAATGCCTAAAACTACTCCACACTGACTTTAAATGATTTCTCTGGAAGCAAATAAGTCTTATGGAATTACTCCATATGTGACTTCAATTCAAACAATTCTTAATGGAATTACTTTTTAGGTAACTTGTACCAGCAGCATGGGCGTGTGTTGGCACTTTTGTTTAGTCCTGTCATTGGCTACTTTCATAAAACTGTTGATAATTAATATAAGAAAATTAAAACATGAACTGAAAAAAAACCTTGTTTATCTCATCTGTTCTGCTAAGACAATCTTTCAAAGTTTTAATAGAGCTGTTCTTTTGAGAAGAGGCTTGCAAAATTGAGCCTTCAAGCTTAAAAATTGCAATTACATTGTTTGCTTTTTACCTAAAGAAATATTCATCAGGTACCAGAAGTTCTTAAGTCTACATCTGGTTTTAACCATTTTTATCTCCCCTCTAACACTGTTGATATTAATGCCAGTTTTAATTTCTTGGCAGGAACATATCTCACACACATGTGATTTTGAACGAAACTGTAAATTAGGAAGCAAGAGATTCACAGGGTTTCATCAGATCAGTTCACTCCAAAAAGGGACACAGTTGTACTGAAAAGGTTTTAAATTGCTCATTTCAAACTTACCTCAGTAGCAAAATGCCATGCGTGCAACAGATTTGCAACCACATTAGTCATTTTCTTTCCTCCGTTTTCTTGCTGTGTTTGTATTGGGAGCGCAGAGCAATGTAATTTAGTAAATTATGATTTGATGGCTGGGCAACAGCCTCAGTGTTGAACAGGATTTGGACTATAATTACTTGCTGGCTTTGTCACAGTTGACATTAATTATTGATGGAGGTTTCAGAAATAGCGCATGTGCCAGGAGCTTTGCACCGGAACTCAGGCTCCAGGCAGGAGGGATGCTAAAGAGCGTGGGGGAAGAGGCACCTGTGGCTTGTTTATGTCTGTGCACAGCAAACCTGTATCCGGTGGGCTTGTGTGGTAGCTGTATAAAGGTCATGGTGTAACGGGAGGATGAACCGTCAGGCTTATTTCTATCGTGTTCCTCCCCAGGAATTGCACCGAAGAAGCCAACTTCAGCCGGAGCCAGCCAAGACGAAGGCTCTCCAGACTGTCATTGAAATGAAGGTAGGAGCTGTTCACATTTGTCAAAAACAGCTGTTCCTCTGGAGTTTGTTTTAACTCGATGGTGGCTAACGTAGAACGTGAATTTAATGTTGTTGTATTTTTCTCTAGGCACCCTGATGTGTGCTTTTTTTTTCCTTCCTGAATCCTTTAGCCTTCCTGGGTACATTTAATTTCTTGGCCCTTTAATTAGGATTCTTTTTCTGAGCAAAAGAATAAAGGGCTCAAGTATCCCTTGGCTGAAAGGAGCTGGGTTCATTTCCAGAGTATAGCCAATGCGTTCAAACTTAATGGAGGTTTTATGTGTGCTTTAAAAGTAAATTTCTAAACCTGGAAATATTCTTTTTTTCCTCCCACTCACATTACAATGAAAAGACACCTTGAGAAACTAAGATTTGGCAAAGAGAAGGTGTTTTATATGCAATGGAATCATTAAATAACCTAAACGATGCTATTAGCAAAATTTACTTATCAATGAACAATACTTTCTCTTGACTCCAGTGTTTTCTCCTAACCAAGCCTAGAAATAATAATTTTTAAATACTCTCCAGGTATCCCTTTAGCTGTGGAAGCACTAGAAATATGCTGTTCAAAAGAATTAAAGATCCTCCTGGATGAATTTAGAGCATTTAAAGAATAATGAAGTAAATGATGATAGCCAAGTCACGATACATGACTAAGAGACAGATCGAAATGAAATCCAATTGCTCTGTCAATATTTAGAAATTTGAAGTCGTGTTACTTAGTTTTTGCCAGAAGGAAGCAAATAGTATTTATCTTAATAATAAATAATCCCTGATTTAAATTGCTCCCTGAGGGGGGAAAAATGACAACAGTGTTTGCAATTTAGTAATTTTACACTTGAGGTTAACACTCAAGAGTTTGCTGGTCACCATCAGCCTACAAGACACTTGGGAAGCTTGCTGATAAGATAGTGATTTTTTTCTGTATTTCTTGTAGCACGTGATATTGAATTGTCTACCAAAAAATTCCCGTGTCTTGGGGAAAAAGAAATTAATGTGAACTGTTGTGTTCTTGGCATGTACAATTCTGACTTGGGGTGTTTTTTCCTAGTCAATGATAGTATCTTTACCCAAGTAGAGTTTTGTGGAGATGATGTAGAACGTTTGCTTTCAAACTGTATGTCTCCTGAAGGATACATGAGTCAAGCACTCATAATGTATTTGCAAACTGGTTGGAAATATATTATCTAAGGGACCAACTGCAAGTACGATTAAAAAATAATTGCTGATTTTGGCTCATCAATTCATTCTGAACTTATGTAATTTTAACTTATTTTGAAAAGATACTTATTCCACACCTGTTGGGGAGTGGTTCATAATTGAGATTTCATCCTCACTTCACATTCATTGGAACCACATTTGAACCGTTGTTAAGGCTCTTTTTTTTTTTATGAGGAAAAGGAAAGAAAAGAAATAAAAAGAAAAGAAAAGACAAAAAATTTCATTTCATTTAAAGATTTTATTTTTCTTGGCAATGGCTCTAATACACCTGTAAACAATACCACTAATAAAAATTTTATTGGCATGAAATACTATAATTATGGATGTGTAAAATTTTTAAATCTTAAAGCTTCTTAACATAATCATGTATATCTATATACAAAACATACATAAATTTCATTTTATTTATTAGAGCCATTGCCAAAAAAAAAAAAAAGATTTTATTTTTCTGCAGAGTCCTTCAGTCCCCTTTCTACCCACCTCCACACCTACATCTGCACAATTAGTAATGAATAAGAAGATGTATATACAATCTATTTTCAAATTATTATTATTTTTTATTTAAAAAAGAATGTGTTCTAAAAATCTTTGGAGAAACCAGGAATGACATCTCTCCCAATGATGTGGGCATTTTCCCAGTCAGGTCACTATGAAGATAAATCTGTTTGATTCTAGCTTACTGTTTTTAGCATCATATGTTTTGTTAGAAAACACAAAATACTAAATAAAAGCACTCACTTAGGCTGTCTATGTGGGAAGGCATAAAAACATGATTTTAGGACAAATCTATGCCCATATCTTATTACTAAGTTCAGTCTGGAGTTTTTCTCTTATGATGCCAATGCTGCTGATTTTTTTGAGCACAGTTTTAGAACAAGTGATGACCAATATATTTGATAGGAAATTGAGCCTGAGGTTTTTCTGTTGTCCTTTGGATGCCTGCTCATTTACAAAGCACTGCCTTCTGTTTTGACAGTGGAGGAGTCTGAGTCCCATTAGCATCTATACTCAAAATGCATAAATTGAATTTTGGAGGCAGCTGGTAGACGGTTATTTCCTTAGCCACATGTGTGTAGCTTGTGATAGAGGCTCTGATCTCATCTGATTTTGTATATTACATCCCTTTAAAATTGAAGGGAATATTGGAAACCAATAGTTTATGAGCCTTAGGGTTGGCTACCAAATAGAACTGACCCTTAATCCTGGTGGGTGGAATTTGAGACACTGTTTTGTTTAACTTAAACACCTTTGGGTAAACATTAATGTCATCTATAGCACCTTGGCAAAATCTGAAGTTAAAGGGAGCTTTCTCAGAGTAAATTGGATCTGTAGTTTCAGGGTGATGACATGAATTATGGGCTTAGAAGGTATCCCTACTTGTCTCTTGGTTCTTACTGAATCTGACCCCTCATCTTCTCCACACATATACTTTGCATCAACTGAGAAAGGTATTTATTGTGAAAATCTGTGAAATCTTGCCCAAACTCAAGCACAGTCTCATAATTCTAGTGACTCTACATAACCCTCAGGACTTTTAGAGTTGTGAAGATACGTCTTTGTGGGGTGAGCCTTGGGGAGGGCCATTTTCTGGCAGCCATCACATCTGTTGCTAGCCAGTTGAGCCAGGGGAGCTAAAATCACCTGAATGAAAATAAAGGGCAGCAAAGTAAATTAAAGTTATTTATGATTTATCTTCTTACAGGAAGCTCCAAGTTTTAATTTTGATCCCAGTTTGGTCTGGCAGGTATGTTCCAGGTTTACACTGTGAGAATATTGTGTGTATTTCTCAGAAAAGTTAGTTTTCTTGTGGATGTCTCAATGCTCCTCCTTTTCTTGCTTTTGTGTCTAAAAATTTTTTACCACGCTCCTCTTTTCTACTCTTACAGAGAACTCTCAATAAAAAAAGGCAGTTTAAAAGCTTTGAAACCTCTTTTCTTCTTTAATGTTGTCTTTTGAAAGAATATATTCTTTATCTACTTTTACTATAAATTTGACATGGCATAGACATGATGTCCAAAAGTTATACTTTCTTAGGTTCATTAATAAAGCTGTATCCAGGTTTTGTTTTTGTTTTAAAGGAAAATGAATTACAGTAATGACAGTACTTGTCAGATAATCCTAAAATTTTTTTCTTTGTGAGTCAGAACTAGAAATGGATGAAAATCTAATTCAAAATTGCTTAAGTCAAAAGGAAATTTGTTGGCTCATATAAATGGAAAAATACCCCAGGAGTATTGCTTCAAGCACAGCTTGATCCAGGGGTTCAAAAGATATTCACAGGTCCCATTTTTCCCCATTCCACCTTGCATTTTGGCTTCCTTCATGTGAGCTCTGTTTTCAGACAGCCTCTTTTTGGCCTGTATGAACAAGATGGCTGCAGCAGCTTCAACAATCACAGAAGGAATAGGAAGAAAGTTGTGTTTTAAAAAAAGTGCAAAAAACCCATCCAACCATAATAATAATTACCGAGATAGGGCATAAAACCTCACTCACTTAACAGCTCAGGCTGAAAAGAAAATGTGTGGAGTTCCCTAGTTCTCATTTGCTTATGAATTAAATGGCAGTCATTCATCAAGAAAAACAAGATTTATGCTAGCACTAAACTCAGCAGAATTTATCAAATGGACATATGTGAGTGATATCAGAGTTTTAGTAAAAGTAGCAGGAAGTATACTTGATCTGGTGAACTTGTTCTCTAAAGTGGATTAAGAAGCTGGGGACATAATGTCACCATGTGATGGTATCTCTGTGGCAACTGAAGTGAGGATTGTGAGTGTTTAGCTTTCCAGTCACATGTGTGTCATGTGTGGTTCTTCTAGAGTAACACTGTCCCCACCAGGCTTTTCTATGAGAACTGCATTGTAAGTAATTCAAGATTAAACTTGACTAAATGGCCTACCTGTAGTTGTGCTGTTGATGGGAAAAAAAAAGGTGACTTTGCATTCAGGTGCTAAACTTTCATGATGAGGTTGATTTTTGTTATTAAAACCAAAAACCAAGCCTTTTCTCCATGCTCAGGCAGATGACTACTCTTCTCTATGCGGTTGAGCTGACTGGTGGTTGGGATAAGTTTCCCTTAAAAGATAACTTGTTGTTTGGTCAAATTCAGCCATTTCTGTTCTACCAGACATAGAAGGGATGTGCTGTAACATGGACACAGCAAGAGCTACTCACCAACCCAAGTTCACACAAGCTAGGAAGGGAGAAATTTCAAACCCAAACCTAGGCCATCGAATGCATCCCAATTTCCATTGTGAACTTAATTCAAGTCCTAGGATCTAATCAGGAAAACCATGTAATTCCTGAAATGTTTTTTTCTGTCTTTTGAACTGTTACTCATTAGAGTCTAAACACTAAATTCTATTTAGAATGATTTCTTCTCCCAGAATGATGTGGTCATATAAAATTTGTGTCAAGCCTAGTTTTTCTAGTCAAGCCATTATGATGGATTTTCGGATGTAAAATATGCCTGGGCCTCTTTTGTGGTGATTAAAAAAATAACAGCAATAAGGACAGTGATACCACCTGTACCACCAGTGACAACCCACAGCTCAAACACCACTAGCCACACATGGGTAGCCAGGCACAGGGAGCCTGGCATATAAAAACTTGTGAATAGGCATAATTAGCCCTATTTAATAGATGAGAGAGGATAAGCAATCTGCCCAAGGTTCTACAGCTGGTCAGTTGGCAGTTGATATTTGAACATAGGTTTCTCCTCCAAAGCTCTTACACCTCTAGTCCTTCAGTCTGCTTTTA